GCAAACACGTATTTATACCGATTTCATCAGGCTCCGAAAATTCTTCAAAAAGAACCCAAAGAATGGCCTTCTCAGCTGCCATAGCTGCAACTCTTGCGTCATCAGAACAGGGTGTTCAACGCACCACCGTTTCCGTTTAAAAAACGTTTTGCACTGTTTTGTCGGAGCTGAACGCAGCCTTGTTTTTTTATTGTAAAATTACCCAAAATTTTTGGAAGGAATTGGCAGAATTTATTTTGAATCTAGTAAAGGATAAATACGTTTTTTCTTTAAAGGATATTATTGTGTACTATGAAAACAATGTTAACAAAGGTCTTGAATACATTGTTAATTTATTCATATTGCTGGCAAAATTTTATATACATAAACAAAACTGCTTAAATTCATCCCCAATATTTAAGGTATTTTTAGTGGAATTTGATTGTTTCATGTCTTCTCTGAAATTGTTAAAAAACAAAAAGTCATTAACATATAAAATATTATGACATTATTTTCAGATCCCCTGTTACTAATTAATGTCACACTTTGTATTGTACTGACTGTCTTATGCTATGCTCTGTTTGTTATCTGTTCTATTTTCATAAAAAAAAAAAAAACAGCTCTGGGACTTTTCATTGTTTCATTCCACTTGTCTGTGGTTTGCTGACCAAACTCTGTCTGTGAAGAAGATTTTTTTAGCAGCTCTCTCTGTATAGTTACGCCAGTAGGTGCCGACAAGTGACTGTGTTTAGGAGTGAGTCGTTCATTCAACCAATTCAAGACAATTTAATCATTCAAGACAAAACAAATGACTTTATTTATGAATGAGCCTTGAATGATTCACTCAACCGATTCTTTCAAACACTGATTCGTTCAGTGCCAGCCCCTGCTGGATGCCAGCAGTTGATTCGCTTTGTTTGGAACTATTTTCATTGGCGGAGCGAAAATTGACAAAGTAGCCGCAAAATTGTAACTAACAAAATAATAATTGTTTGTTTCCACTCAACAGCATAACATTAATTTCTTGAATCTCACATGCTCTGCCTGTTAATCTAACACCTCAGTTACACAGGTGTCATAGTTATAAAAATTTTAATTGAATATACTAATTTAAAGATTTAAATTACATAACACATTGTATTTTTGTCATCAGCTCATTCGT